CAGTGCGTGGTCATCAGAATATGGCCGTTGAACCTTGGTTGGAACGTCTGCGCCGCCTTGGACGCCATGCATCCCTTTGAGATCACCTGTGGCCGTCTGTGGCATGCTGCGCCATTCATTGGAGGACATACGCGATGGTGGCTGGTAGGGCGCCGGGCGCTGGAAGGAGGTAGTCCGGCGCTTCTCGGAATGGAGAGACTGAGAGCTGGGGGTTGGCGACACAACAGACGATGCTGCTGTCTGCGACTCGGGAGCCTCCCACATAGGCGCGTCTACGTTGGTGTCGATCTTGGAGAGTTCTTGGGGAGTAGCGCCGAGGATCACTGGGTGGAGGTCTGGATCGTCCTGGTCCTCGCCCTTGAGGTATAGGACACTGACAGGCCTAGTAGAGCTGAACATGTCTTGGAGCGAGGCGAGCTTGATGTGAAGGTCTTCTTCGGCGGGTGCGCGGCCTCCTTGGTTGTCGCTTGTCGAAGACATGGACCAGGTCCTCTTGTGTTTCGGCACCTTCCCGGGTCGTTGGCTCATACTGCCCTTGGAGATTGATCCACTGCGTTTCCGCTTGCCAAAGTCCTTCATGCCAGACTCAACCTGTGCGATCTGCTGCTTTAGCTTGTCGATGGTCTTCTTGACGTGGGCAACATCGTTGGAGAGCTTCCTCTCGGCACCGTGGTCGCGGAAGAGCTTGACTTTGCAGTAGCAGAGCTCACCATCTGGCTTTTGGGGCGACGATCCAGTGGCTTCTGTGACCATTTCGGTCTTCGCGCATAGCCGGACGGGAATGCCTTTGACGCCCTTGGAATGGCTGAAATCGGTGGAGAGAAAGTTGAAACGCACGGCCAAGGAGCACTCGGGTGAGGAGTTGTGGGTTGGTGTCCAGGTGACCACGAAGCCATCGAACGAGGAAGACTCAAGTTCGACCCTGGGTCGTCCTTGGATCTCACCGCCGCTGACTTGGCTGGGGTCCACAAACTCAACTGCTTGAAGCCGCCCACCACGCTGGTGGGCCTCGTTGGTTCCGCGGCCCTCCTTCCACAGTTGCCAGCAGGATGCTGGTCGCTGGCGCTGCTGTTCGTCTTCGAACGAAATGCGGATGAAAGTCCTGTACTTGGTCGATGGAGACGGTGCTTGCGTAGGTGCCGTGTCTACCAAGGAGATGGAATAGGCCTGTCCCTTGTTCAGGTAGGTCACAGGGACTTCGTCTGATTGCTTGATCATGGCCGTTGGAGCATTCAGAGTAACATGGTAGCGGAAACTGGAAGAGTCAGTATGATGATGGCGTGATGCAGATGGGGTGACCGACTTTTGATTGGGTGGAGGGGGTGCTGGTGCGACTGCAGCCGCCATGCCGTCGTAGGAATGGGGTGCGTAACCGATCAGAGGCGACTGCTCTTGCATCTCGACTTCGGGAACCATGTTGTCCATGGACGAGTCCTGGTGGGTTTGCGTCATGTTGCCCTGGTCGAATGCAGAAGGCTGGTGCGTGAACTGGTGCGGTGCAAATGACTGGGAATGCTGCGGCTGCATGCCAAAAGGATTGACATTCTGGAAGTGATGCGACCCCAGGGCGTGGGGATTGAAGCCATGGAGATGGTTGGCAGGCGCGACCTGGCCAGCGTGCAGCGCACCTTCCGAAGTGGGAAGCGAGAGGGGAGTTCCTAGGCCAAAGCTGAAGCCGGGCGTGTGGAGGTCGCCGGCCTGGCTGTGGTAGAGCGTGTTGGTGCCGCCGGGCGTCGGGGTGTAGTAGCCCGGCGGTTGGTTTGCGAAAGAGGTGAATGCGAAGCTGTTGGGGTCGAGCAGTGACGGAGTGAACCTCCACGGCTCATTGTTCCCGCGCGGAGTCGGGTCCTGGTCCTTGATGTCCTCATGGTCGAGGTGGCTGGAAAACATGGAGTTAGCAAAATGTTGGGTGCAGGTGCAAATTGGGCGTCGGCGTTGTTGACGTTGGTGATGGTGCCGAGTGACATGGGATGGGGGGATCTCGGAAAGACGTACCGGGAGGGGTGCGCGACATCAAGCGCATCTGCGAGCGTGTGGCCGGGCGGCCCAGCAATCGAGTGCGAACGCTGCTGCAGATGGGGGAACGTGGCCTTGAAGTCCTCGAGGAGCTTTCCGTCGGGTTTTTGGCTGTTGAGTCTGCGCAAGTCAGTATGTACTTGATGACATGCAACGCGACGCGCGCAAATCACATGCGGGCTTGGGCGCGGCGGGACGACGTACCTATTTCGAAACATGGCATCGGACGCACTCGCGGAGTTAGGTGTGCAGGACTTGCGATTGCATCTGGCGGGTCGGTGGGAAATGGTCGGTGACTGAGCAGCAAGGCGTGCGGCGGCCCTGGGTTATGAGATACGGAGAGCAGCTGCCACGAGAAAGACGAGCCTTTGGGGTCAAGCCACACATGTCCAGGGCCGGTGGTCAGACGTCTTTTAGCTAGCAGCTAGCTCTCAGAGCATCCACAGGGCCTGACGGAATTGCAAGAGGGCCGCGCGTGGGCATGGGTGGAGCGTCGGGTCTAGGCACACGGTCCCTGCTGCTCTAACGCTACGGTTTTGCATGGCCCTAGGCGGCTTTGGTCCGCCGCCCTACTCTGTGCGCGACGTGCTGCCAGACTGATCACCCACCGCCCGGCCTGCACAGCCACAACCCTACGGCAGACGCGAGCCGGCCAGAAGCCCTCACGGCCGCATGGGGAGCTGATAGTCGCTGCATCTGTCGCCATCCCGCACTCCAAGCGCACATCCGCCCATGGATGCTGGATCGCGCGGACCCAGCCCGATGTTTCTCGAATCCACTCCAGTTGCTACACCAGTGCGAGGCGCTCGTGCGCGGCTCCAGTGGCTTGATGAGTATTCCGTGCCCTGCCCGCAATTTGCTCGTCGCGACAGACGCTGCTCGCACACTATGCCCCCTTTGTCACCAGAGACTGTTGCGGCGCCTACGGTGTGCGTTGGCGCCTCAATGCGAAATGACATATGCCGGCCAGCTCCCGTTTCCACTTGTGTCCCGAGACTGCTGAGCCCTGGTCTCGCTCCTGTATTCCACGCGGCAGACGTCTCTGCCGCTGCTCGCCCTACCATTCCAGTCTACTGCCGGCCGCCTTCCCCTGCGTTCGAGCGCCGGATCAGAGACGAGGATGCCACCCCGCCAATTCGTCAAAGTCTATCGCCCAGGCCAATCCCACTGACGCCCGTTGGCCCTGTGTCGCTTGCGCTTACTCGGAAGACTTAATTCTTAACGTTATTTCACTACCTGACAGGCCGAGATTAAGGAGTGGTTAGCGGGCGTTATCCCGAACGCGTTTCTATCCACCGACTGAACCATCAACGGCTTTCGTCATCGCCAGGCGCTTGGGCTTTGCACCTGGAGCCGTAAACGCATTGCAGCCACAAGAGCGAACGTCACTGCCTTATGCAGTTACACCAACCGCACTGCTGGCTGTTGCATGGAATGCTAGTCCGACACGGCCAATCGCACTGCTGGGGAAGCCTCGTCCGGTAGGTCCAACGGAGGATTCCACTGACGCAGCGATCCTTGTGTAAAAATAAGTGTGGCAACAGTTACAGACGGTGATCGACAACGGGAACTCTCGACGAATAAAACGCCTCGCGCATTATCAGGTGGCAGAAACCTTTCAGTTAACTCGGCAATGATCGCCCGACTGTGGCACATCTTCGCACTCGCCACACTCAACGCCACACCTTGCTGATCAGGCCTCAGAACAGAGTAGATAGCGAACGACGCGTAGGCTTGCAGAATGGAAGGAGCTGGAAAGGCCTTGTTCATGACTAGATGTTGCGATTAGATTCGAACATGTTCAGAGTCCAGCCGAGTAGCGCAGTGCTCTGGCGTAGTGTCAATAGCCGTACCTCCTGAGCGATGCATTGGCCATAAACATTCTAGAGTGAGGTCACCTCCGTACAACCGCGTCCGGATAGGTTCACCTCTCGACGCCGCCTTGTCATTGTGACAGCGCTTTGCGGGAAGAGCAGCAGTTGCATCGTCTGATGTGAGCTGCCAGTTTAGCCATAGGCTGTCATCTCGCTAATTGACGCGACTAATTTTGGTTATTACGTGAAAAGCACTGCAATCTTAGACTGACACAAACTCCATCATCACAAACTCCATCATCACAAAGCTGTGACGGACGCACTTGACAATAACCGTCGAATTATTCTCTTTCAAGCATACGGGATTTAGCATAACCCCACCATCTGTTGTAACGGTGTGAACGCTCCGGTCGGGACATTTCATAGTGAATCAATTATCCTTTCTGACGTTGGCGGTTAGAATGCGTGGTACCGCACCATGTCTGACAGTCGAATCAAACTCAAACCGACGCGCTGAGTAACCGGCATGAAACACCAATCGCTGCCCGATTTGCCCAACATAACTCTAAGATCTCGATCACGAGTATATCAGACCTCCATTCATCAAACCGATAACGTTTTCTTCAGAACATCATCGCCCGGCCTTACCGAACCTTGTGAATTGTTCACTCGCGGAAGCGAAAGCCTCGGACTACCTTGAGCTGACCAGTGACGATGATTGACTTGCATCACTTGCAGCCCTCGCTGCTGCAATAGCCGTGATCGTGTTACGCAGTCCTGTTCCACTATGTTGGTTCCTCAATGCCGACGGAGAGTCTGGCATACGCAGGCTGTTGATAGAACTGTTCCTGCTCTGAAGCTCCGGTCGCATGCTTCCGATCGAATTTTCGCGGAATGCCGTAATAACACTTGAGCTTGACCCACGGCGACTGTCCTGAGGCCTGGCATAGACCGACTGGATGCTCGAAGCGGAATCTGCTCGACGGCTACGACCCAAGGATTGGACAGGGCTGGGAATCTTTGAATGCTTGCCCAAGTCCGCACCCAGAGTTTGGGACGATGAAGTCGATCTGATTGATCGCGTATCAAGCGCCGGGCGCCCAGTACGCATGAGAAGGGGGGTGTCTGAATCATCAGAACCACTCTCATTGGCCTCTCCATCAAGCGCTTTCAATTCCTCCGTGAGTGCTTCAAGCTGGTCAGCCCCAGGCTCGAAAGAGAACTGTCGGCGATGCTTTTGGCTTGTGTTGAGTTGGGGCTGCGACTGGAATTTTCGGAGGGTATGCCGCGGCGCAAGGCCTTGGTCGAAATACTCGTACGTTCCATTGTCAGAGCTGGTTTTTTGACGTGGGGTCTGGGTATCATTCTCTTCGACATGTGCTGTCAACTTCTCTGCCGATCTAGTCTGCGAGAACAGCATCATGAGACCATGATTGAAGCTGTTCACCTCTAGACCTCGACGTCTTGCGACAAGTGTACCGAGTGCCCGAAGAGCGATAAGAGCTTCGCATTCGGTAGCTGGCTCCATGCCGGTGTGCTCCAGAATCGTCATCTCGTCAGGCAAAGGGTCGCCAGATCCTCCTGAGAAGCCAGAAGCGACAGAACTAGTGAAAGATCGAGAGGGCCTCGTCTTCTGAATGGCAACGAGATTGAGCTCGCTCTGGACTTTGCGCGACAATGTAAGATTCTTGGTGGTTTGCGGTGGGTTCCCCACAGGTAACTCTTCCATGTCGTTGGTGAACTGCGTGGACAGGACGGCCATCTTTCCAGAGGGTGACGACGGCCGGTTCAGAAGCGCTGTAAAAAGTTAGCTAACATACACACGACGTGTGAGTTGGTTTGGTTCTGAAAAATGCATAAAGCAAACGTATTCCGCCGCCACCACGACAGTATACCGAGAATGTCTTCGCGGTACTATCAGCGGTAGAGTGGTCACGCGAGAGAATTATATATGCGGCAACGAGAAGTACACAGTACGCCTAAAGACTCACCTCTCTGACTCATTAACTTGATCTCCTGGTCAAGTTGCGCGTGTGAGAAGAAGTCGTATTTCGGCGGGAAGCTGTCGTGCGAGATGGTCTTGCTATGACGCCGCACAATACTGTCTTGACGAGCCTGTATGAGTCTTCTTTCTGTTAGTAGAGGAAGAGCAAAAGATTGAACACTACCTAGGTACTCACCCAGTCATGCCACTGGCCCCACGAGCTATGAGTAACTCTAAGCGCCGTATCTCCGCCCCATAACGATCTCTTGAGCGTGTCCAGTGCTCTTCGGCCTTTCTCCAATCATTGAGTGTCTCCTCCAGCATTGTACTGAGACACTCCTTCTGCTCTCGTACCTTGCGATAGTCCTCAAACACACGGAAGAGGCCGCTGTTATGCTCCATCGGTATCGGCCAAGAAGCTGTTATCATATGCGATCGGACAGATGTTACGACGTCGAGCGGGTCTATGTAGGTCTGGAAGGGCGCTGGTGCATCTTCACCCCATGGCGCAGAAAACGCGAACTCGGGCTCTTTGGCTGTCTCTTTGAAATTGGCGAAGAGCGACGTGTAGCGAGCGAGCTTGGGCTTCGAGTCTCGACGTAGGGCTGGGGTATCTGAACGTTCGCTTGGTGCGTCATCTGCGTCTTCGGCGATAGGCGTGGTGTGCGCACCGCCTACAGGAGTCTGTGGTCTGCTGCTCTGCCGCGTCTTCCGCCAGGTAAGTTGAAGCCGACGGTCGCTCGAATCATCGGTGCCTACAGGAGTGTCGACGTCAATCTTGAGCGGGGTAGATGTTCTCGGAGGCTTCTTTGGCTGCTTGCTGTGTCCCAAGCGCCAGCTTTTGTTGTCGGGCATATTCTCGTCGTCGTCCTTTGCTAGCTCTCTCGATAGATGCGTAGCAACAGAGAGCCCCGGGAGCTGAGATACGAAAATATCCATAGTTTCTGTGGGTCGTGACTGCCAGTTAGGTGAGATTGTGCGGGGCGACTGTCGAACAGAAGGGTAGGAGTTGTCGACTGGGAAGGCGCGGTCGTCTACAATCAGCTCTCACCTTCACCTCCGCTTCCGGATTTCAGCATGACGCGCGCTCACCACTAATGACGGCTATGGACGGCTTCTTGCTGAGCTCCAGTGTCATCTTGATAGAAGGCAGGCGCGACCTCGCCCGCTTTCACTGCTCGGAGATGTGAGCTTTTCGCTCTCCGCCCCTTCCGCCCCTTCTTTCCACCTGCGAACACTTGAGTTTTCTGGAAGGTCATTCAGGTTTTGATCATGGTCAGTATACTCATCGGTTTCGCTAAAGAGATTCGTATCACGATAGCGCTGAGATGTCGCATCACGGAGACGGAAGGAGGGTGTCATGTTACCAGCGAAAGTTTTCGCTGTAGATCAAAAGTGCGTACAGCCATAAAATATCGATATTGTAACACTCGGAACTTGATAGAACCCAGAGACGAGACGAGGAAACTGCGAAGAATAACAGTGATCAAATGTGCCGTCCACGAAGCGCCGGTAGTCAAAATGAGCGGTATTATATACCAACGATGGAGTCTCGTCTCTCTAAAAACGTGAAGTTCATAGTTGAAAGTCGCAGAACGTCATCTCATTGTCAGAGGGCAATCCTCATGATATGTCTGAAGTCCGCGGCGAAGCGAAGTGTCCACAAACGGCTAGCGCCAGCTGACCCGTTCAACACTCGCGACCTCGGGACAGTCACGGGCGAACGACCATCATTGCACCAACAACGACAAGTTCTGCCCCAGGCTTACGCGTATCGACGTTTTGGAAAGAGCGCAGGTCAACAGATGGTACTGGGCGACTGCTCGCATCGCATTGTGATCTCTGAGATCGTTGCCAAGGGAAGTGCTCTTCCGAGTTTCGGCTGAGTTTGAGTACCGTTTCATCTCACTCCAACCGCTCTGCATCACGGTGCTTATACGGTACTACAGTATCTTAACGAGTCTAATCATCAAGGCAGCAAGGTGGACGTTGTTGCAGACTGGATGCCTTCCTGAATGATGCTGAAGTCTGCTTGTGTGACCACGACGAAAGACAACTTTACATGGTACGATTGAAGTCGATACTACATGTTCCATTGCATCATCGTCATACCCCATAAGGATCTGGGTACAGAAGCCGCGCGTCTCCCGTTCTTTGGGAAGGCATCGACATCTCTCCGACATTTTTGACACACTTCAACACACCTCATCCCCGGCCGTGCCCTTTCCGCAGAACCAGACCGCTCCACTCCCCGCCGTTGCTATGGAGCAGATCGTACTCCTTTCGCTAATACAGTACCAAGAAACAGGCAGGAAAGTCTAGACTCCGGTTTCAGCCTTCTCAGCGCGAGGCACAAAGTAAGGTACCAGGATGACTTTGTGATTGACACCGGCGCCTGATGACGACGACGGCGGTGTGCCTGTATGTCAGATGCGCCGTGGCTGGCAGGCTATAAGTTGGAAGTATCCTCAGGCTAGTAGACGCTTTCCTTACTTCAAGCTCACCATCAAGTCAACTTCTTCAAGTCAATCTTCTTGTTTTCCAACCTTTCTATACATTCACTCTTTGTCGCCGGGCGACTTTACCACGTTTACAACTACCATCTACGCTTCTTCTACACCTACTCTCCGAGTTCAATAATCACCTAAACACTATTTCAAAATGAAGTTCTCCGCTGTCATCGCTACCATCGTCTCCATGGCCGCTTTCGCCATGGCTGCACCTGTCGCCAACGAGGGTATGTTTACTTTCTAAATCAATGATGAAGAGCAATGACTAACAATATGAACAGAAGTTGCCGCCCGCCAGAACCACGGCATGTGCGTCAAGGGCACCACCGCCGGTGTTGAGCAGATCGAAGGCTGCTAGGAAGTTTATACCCATGAGAGGATGTAGAAGACGGAGGAGCAAGATTACCACGAGTTGTGACCGGGGGAGAAGGAATTGGAGGATACAATGGTCGTCGCAGAACGGCGGTGCCGAAACGATATAGAAGCGTCCGTTCTGGTTGCGTTCAAGTAATACAAGACAATTGACAAAGCATCACGGTGTGATGGGCTTGAATCACTCTCCACGTTCCAAGTTTTCTTTCTCACTCGTTAGACGTAACGGCACTCGCCTTCGTGGTGCTACGGATTTCCTATTTCGTTTGGCAATGATACACAACGAATGGTCTAGATCCACTAGTTCATCGGTAGCCTCGCATGAGCCTTGCATACAACGTTTCTGCCTGAGCAGCGCGGCTAGTAAATACCACAACAGCAAAGGAACTCGAACATTACCCCTCACTCCGAAAGTACAGACTGAACAAGATGAAAAATGCGTAATTAGGTAAGTCCAACATAACCACATCGCTACATAGGTATATAAACGCTTGAACGCTTCCAAGAAAAAATGCAAGATGAAAATGCCAGCAACATGTCGATCAGACACTGTGCAACACCATTACTTCCTCCTAGGGGTATGCACTCTCGCTCTGCTGCTTCTTCTCCTTCTCCTTCTCCGCATTCTTCCCCGGTCTGAAAGCATCCAGACTGATCCTCCTTCTTTCCCTGTCCCTACCCTCATCTGCACCGCTAGATTCGGCCTCGCTTTCCTTCTCCTTTTCCTTCTGCTTCTTCTTTTCCACTTCTTTGATGGCTTCTCCAGTCAATTCTTGCCTGTTCATACGTTCTACTACGTCCTTCTTCCTCGTCCTCTTGTCACCCAACCAGATCAATAGACCGGCCGTTGCATTGCAGGCGATAGAGCAGCAGAGGATAACAGTGGTGATAGCAAAGGGACGAACCTTGTAGTAGATACCCCATGTGCACGCGCCGAGGGAGATCTGGAGTAGAGAGTGGCAGTCTAGAAGTACGACGATGGCGACAAGGAAACGGAGAGGGAAGGCATAATGGGTCTCCGTCTCGTGGGGCTTGTAAAAGGAGTGCGATTTGCAGAATTTGGCTTGGTGGTGTTCGAGCTTCTCTTGCTGCTTTGGCGTCAACACGGTGAATTCCCACTGTTTCTCGGGGTCGGCTGGGTCTATAGCGCGTGGTCCAGATACGGGAGCGTGTTCGGCAGGAAGGTCGTTGTGGTCGGTGAGGTCAGGAAGCATGTCCTTCTTACGGCGGGACCATGTGAAATGGTGGTAGTGAGCAATGTAGATCATGTGGTATGTGTCGACACAACGGAAAGGTGCTAGGCCGTCTCCTACAACAGCGAAGAGAGCAACGAGAACACTGTCAATGACGTGGACGACGTAGATCTGCTGTCCACCGACATTAGCCCAGCCGATGAGGAAGAGCACCCAGGCCAAGCCGAATGCGGTGATGAGGAAGGCGTAGAGGGTGACTAGGAAGCCAAGTGCTGTAGATTGTCAGTAATGGTTGAGAGTATAGTGGTACAGATACTTACGTCTCCTGACATACATGCCGAATCCCTTGAGCGAGCGCTTCATCTTCGAGCGTCTTGAGTGGAGCATGTGCCGTACGTGGTCGTTCACCTCTTTCTTGTCTTCGACGCTCCACCCAGACAAGTCAGTATCCTCAGGAAGAACAGCGAAGCGCGACTCAGTAAGCTGCGAATCTATCGTCATCATGGTCGCCGTCGTGGTCTCAGTCGCCGAGCGCTGGAATCTGGGAGCCGCCTGGGCCGCCTGAGCCTCTGCTTCCGCCTCCGCCTGAGCAGCACGAGCGGGTTCCAGTATGCGGTTGATCTCCTCCAGACTGTCGGTCTCGCTCTTCCGTCGCTTGAGGTTATAAGTGGGCCGGCGGTTTAACCATGGCAGGTTCGGAATAAAGAGCGAATTTTGCATGTTTGTCAAGGAAGTAAGCGTCGCGACTTCGGGGTCGATGGTGTCAAGCACATCGACCATGCCTGAGGTGTAGTTAGACGACATGCCGTCTTCCGCTGCAGGAGCAGGAGCATGAGCGCTTGTCGTCGGCGACTTCTCCTCTTCCTTCGTGCCCCAAAAGGGTATCCTGGTCTGTATCGCGCTCTTGACCTTCCGTAGTCGACTTCTGTCCGGCTCTGGATTGTTGAGGGTACTCTGGCTCCCGTTGGCGGAGGAGAATTGTCCCAGCTCTGCCTCCTCGTCCAGCGCAGGCAAGGGCGTGCTCGCTCTTATTATAGAACCCTGTGGTTGCTGTGCGGATTGTCTTAGGGCGTTGGATGAAGGCATACGCCGTATGCCGATACTGGCTTGACGGCCGACTTGCGGTCGTCGTGGGTATTGCTGGGGTTTGGTCGGCGCGGAGCTGCTTCTTGCTCGTTGCGCGGCAAGAGTACTTGACAAAGGTCAGCATTGCACTCTCCTCGTTCGCGTGCTTAGAGCATACCTGTACGTGACATGCGACGAGGGATCGGTTGCCCTGGTGGGCTTGGGGACATGCTGGCCAGCATCGATGGATGACTCTAACGAGGTAGGCGGTTCGATGACAGGTTGTTGTGTTGGTTGGTCCGCGGCTGCTCCAAAGTCCTGCGCATTCGTCCCAGGCTCGGCGCTCTGAATTCCTTCGTTGACGGCATGCGTGCTGGAGTTATCGTGGGGTGCCTGAGACTGTTGTGGAGCATGCAGCTCGCCCGTGCCGGAGCCTGAGGATGTCGCGCCGGCACCTCTGGCGCGCGCGATACGCGTCTTCAACCTCTGTAAATCCATAGCGACCACGGAATTGAGGATGGGGAACGCAAACCCCAGGGCAATTCCCGATAAACATGTCTTTATGACTTGGAAACGGCCGTGGCCCAATGCAGTCTGGCGGCTGAGGATTGGCTTTTACAAGCCTGGAATTTTGTCTTGGGGGACGTCATATTGCGCCGCAACCACTACCACCCCCTTTCCCCCAAGACGACTCACTCGCATCGCACGCGCGAGTAACGTTCGTGGGGACGGTCCACTAACGCCAGTCAGTGTTTGGACTACAGAGGTTAACGAGCGATCGTAAGGATCTCACGAAACGTACAGCATGTAGGGCGAGGCCGTTAGGGAGACATGCTCCAGGGAGCGACCTCGACTCCTCAGATCTGAAACTCCGGTTGGCACCCTTGCAATGATCGTTTTCGCTTACCGAAAACCGGATCCTGGGTGTCACATGCACACTGACGCTATGTCTCGCGAGTCGTGTACGTGTTCTGGCCGTAGCAACTACAAAATATCAATTGTTTTCGAGCATTGATACCGTTCTCGTGCTCAACTGTATTGATCTAAGAGGTTGCGGGATGATGCAGGGTCCTTTTAGTAGCACTGGTAGCTAGTGGCGGCGGGTACCTGACTTAGCGTATCTTCACGTTCCGCCAGTACCGCTGGTTTGACGCTTGTCGTCTCATCTCAAGTCGCTATGGCTGGTATACTGACATTCTGCTCAGAGCCTTGAACACGCCTGCAGCATGATTGTGAAGATCATACTCTATCTGCCCTTGAAAAGTCGAGAACTTTGGTTGAGGTGTTGCTTTTTCACATTCCTTCTAACATCTATGACGACATTCATCCCTCCATGGACCTCAAAGACCGAGAGAGGTCGATCACAGCCCTAAGCGCTTATGAATCGTCTTCAAGATATGCCTCCAAATGATACAACAACGGTTCGACTGGTCCAGGTTTACGATACCCCTTCGGCGCAGCCACCGTCGCTAGCTCACTCAAGAACTGTTCCGGCAAATCATCGCACTGGAGTAAACTATGGCCCCCGAAACCGCACGAACTATGAACAAGTAGGTCCCTCATTAGATCCCCATCTACTGTACCTTTGTAGATAATCTTTATACACTCTGAGCTAGGGTATGTGTGCGCAACGAACGGATAAGATATAGGGCGGCAGATCTGCTCATACAGTGCCCGAGTCGCCAGATTACGGGTCTGTAGATCGAGCAGCAATTCAGCTATCACGTATACGTGACATATACGTTCAAGAACGCTTGAGTCATCCTTGAGCGTGATGCGATTCGTATAGACGGCTTCCAAATAGTGGTCAACATCTTCTAATCTCAGCTCAGGGTCAACATCGTAGAGACTGACAGTCTTAGCGTCAGAGTTGTTCCATCTGCCACTAAGCGCGCTGGCGAAGAACTTGGATCGCGACGTGATGATGGACTGGTGAACAAACAGTTCTGAACGCTGAGATTCTGGCCCAACGAGAACTTTGATGAGCGGCGAGGAGATGAACCTGGATGTTATCAGCAGTGGTCTAAATTGATGGGCTGTTACAACTAATCACCCGTCGACACCTAGTCTTACTACTTTGACGGATGCGTCAGAATTTCTCCGTGAGTGCGTTGACATGGTGTTCGTAGAAAGGCAGCAAGGTTGTTAAGTCAAGTAGAGAGCTCTTTCGTAAGAAAAAGAGGAAGATGAGAACAATTATCGGAATTAGAGTTGGATAGCGTTTTCTTTGTGAGATCTAGCTTGACAAACTCTTCGATCCTGTCACTAATCACTCGGCGGCTTGATCACCTGAGGTACGATCTCAACCCAATAACCCTTATAGCCGTTAGTATGCCGTATCCCTCATGCATTTGCTTCCACTAGTTGGCGTTCACTTACATCCGGATCCTTCACGAAAGCGAGCTGTTTGAAGACATGCTTGTAGCCGTCTTGTACTGTTCCGTGCTTTCCTTCCACAGCCTCCGCGGGTAAACCCATCTGCTCTTCTTTCGCCTCATCCAGCGGCTTGATGACCTCGTAGCCAAAGCTTTTGATCCTTTCCAGTGCTTCAGGGACATCTGGCACTGTGAATCCAATGTGACCGAAGCCGATTCCCGCCGGATTAGAGTAGTCATTGCCAGAAGTATACGACGTAGCCGCGTCGGCAGGAATGTAATACAATTCCAGCAAGCCTTTTGAGGTACCGAGGGTGGACATACCTGTAACCATTTCAGTATTCTGTCGGAGTTATGGGTAAATGTGTGTACCTACCACTATCTCGTGGTCCTAGGTAGTAAATGGTAAATGGACCAGCATTGAAGATGAAGACAACGTGCATGCCCAGGCAGTCACAGTAGAACTTCAAACTATTCTCCGGGTCTTTGATACGGGTCATGAGATGATTAAGGCGGTACTCGGCAGTTGATGGTGAGCTCGGCCGTGGAGGAGGAACGATGTGCTTGCCGACCTCGTATGGTCCCTGTGGATAGTTTTCGTTAGAAGACGCCATGACTGTGCTGTCACAGATACCCTCGTCCAGAGCTTGCGTTTCTTGTGCAACCTCTCCGGCATTCACAACTACTTATATGTCATTATAGCTTACTAGTCTTAGTAGCCACATGTGGGGCATGTGGGGTAAGTTTGCGGCCTTGAAACCCTAAGAACATATGTTGGTTGGGTAGTGTGCTTCGTCTTTGAATGTTGCATACTCGGCATGCAGCGCGCCTAAAGAATATGTAGATCTTCTTCTTGGGAGAAGGGTGGCGCTTTCAGCTACACCCAAAGTATGCGTCACACTAGATAGTGGCGTTGATGAAAAGGAAGAACACACATATGTGATTGGGAATCTTTTCAGCTGAGCATTCTTCTCGATAAGCTCATCATCCCAGAATGATATCTCGGCGACTACCGGGAAAGCACAGGCGAGGATGTAGCTCAGTTCTTTCGCCGGAATCTACGCTGCGGACAGACATGACCCCTATGCGCTCTTTCATCCCATCTCTAGTACGCGTAACCAGGACGTAGTCTTTGCATATGACTACACCCTCGAATAGGTGGTTGCAGAACGAGTAATGCAATTCCTCGTCGACATCACTCGTGACATCCAATAGCCATTCATGATCCTCGAAACTGCGCTCGCCAGAGCCGGAGATCATCTCGATAGTACCGCGTGCTGCGTACATTGCGTCTTTGTATGTGCTGGTTGGACGATCAAAAATGTGTGAATGCCGACGCCGTTTCGTTGGGATGTATGCGAACCGAAGGTAGAGAACATCAGCAACTATGCGCAACTGATAAGTGTAATCGAGCGCCAGATTACCGTCATTCTCGAAAGCCGTCTTCACCAATTCTTCCGTCAGAGGTTCATCTGTCCCATCGAACTTGATGACATGGAGTTCCACTGGCAGAATATTGTCCCAGGTCAACGGAGATGTGCATGGCCACAGAACAGGAGCAATCCAGCCCGCCCAGGACCAGCTAGGAAAGCCTTCTCGCCGGATAATCTTCGTGGATGTTTCCGGATTGACGACCCAGCATAGTTCCCGGCAAAACGCAGCATTGAGCTGATGTTTCACATCATCCAACTGAACACCATAAGCCCAAAGATGGGACCACATCCTAGACCTGGATTGGATCTCTGTACAAGCAGTCATGGTATACGGTATGCCCCAATACTGATGACACGGGTTGTCTTGCGTGGAGAACGACTGGAAGAGACCACGCATTGCGTTTAGAACGTCCGATTGATAGCTCAATGCTCGTTTCGTATAGCGCACGATATGCTCGCGGAAAGGATCGTCCCAAGTGCTTCGCATACAGGTACTGCTCTGCCCGCTGATCAACTCTGCTGAGCCAGATGAGTTTTCCGTGGTCACTGATTCGAAACAGCTCATTGCGTTACACTCGAAGATAACCTGCTCCTCAGTGAAGATGAGCTGCAGGCGTGAGTAAAACTCCTCTTGATACGTCCTGCACGGTAAGAGTTCATGGTCAGTACTGATGAACACGTATAGACAAGGTAACTCACCAAGCTCTTTGGGACCAAGGTGATTCGCGAATGGGTGTTTTGAAGTCGTCTAGCCCTGCTACCCATGTCGTGCCATTCAATTGAATGGAAGGAGGCGTAGTCCGACTTCGACCACCAACACCGGGTAGTCCATGATCCGAGTGATCACCAGCTGCAGCAACGATAGTCACTGCTGCCGTAGAATAGATCAAAGCCATCATGGATAGCTGGCTTTGTAGTTGATGCGGATCCGACTGCTGGTCGAAACAATATCTTGGTGGTCATAGTCAGCATATGTCCAACATGTTTTTCTGTCGTGAATCCTACGCACTTATCGCACCACAGATATCGGTAGCCAAGCTTAAGGGTGACCTGCATTGCATCCTTGATCGTTTCTGGCAGGTTCAAAAAGCTCTCCGTAGCAGTACCACAGCTAAGGACACTATCGTGTTTATTGGAAGCTGACGGTTTACCCCAAACGTAGCTAAGTGCAACATACTCCGCACCCGGAAGTGCCACGATTATCCTGGATGACCTGCAGTCGATGACTTTGAGTGCAGTTCTTCCTGGAGCCCACAGCTGAGAAGTCTTGCCTTGATGGGAACATGCATCTCCATGGTAGGTCTTACAGTGCGTAATCCACTTTCGTAGCAAAGGATAGTCGATGAGATTTTTCGGTAGTGTACGGAATCGCAGGTTCTCATGTCCGGACTCTGGGAGAATGAAGCGGGAGACAGTGGAATCCTCTGATTGGACGTAGTAGTTCCGGAATGAGAGATCGCGAGGTCCTCCAACTGTTGACGGTCCTTGATAGTCCAAGAGCCAAAAACGGGCTGATTCCCTGACCGTAGATGACGAACACTTTCCATGTAGTATAGCAGCAAAAAATAGACACAGCGGGCACTCGGAACCGTTCCTGACAGCTAGCCTCTCATTGCACACCCCGACTGGGACAGTAAGGCGAGATGCCAAATTTCTGCATTGCATGCAAAGAGGAGTTCTCGACCCCCTTGGAAGGTCGGTGTCGCGTGCAGAGGCAATAGCGTTCATGATGTTGGTGTTTCGGCAGAGGCGGCGTAATATCTACGACGTCTAGAATAGGGAAACGCGCCCTTATTATGTCGAAAGTCCATAGCGATTCTCATGCTATCTGCTGCATGTATGCGTGGCATTGCTGCTTGAAGTGTGGTGGGGTAGGAGGCTCAGTCCCGCGCGTGAACATCGAAGAAGCCCCGAGGCAAGGCCATCAGAACGCGCTAGCTAGCAGCGCCCCGCGTACAAGGGTCCAGCGGCAGTCCAAAGTTTCGAGAAGGAACATTTGCGCCGCCTCAACACCACCACAATACCGCCGACATGGAGTTCCAAAGAGGAGAGCGCGTAAACTTGAACTTCGATACCGGCGCAGTCGAGAAGCTGGATCAGGGAGAACAGCATGAGCTCCCCATGCCATCATTCCCCACTTTCGTGGGCGACATCCAAGAGCGCGAATCATCACCAGCTAATCCTCCAGTCGCGCCCTCGTTCAAACCAAATGTGAATGGGTTCCCGGCGCACAAGAAACGCGTACCGAGAGTATCGGCTTTCAAACAGCAACGCGCCGCAAAGGAACAACAAGCCGCCACAGCACCAAAAGCGCCTGCGGTAACGCAGGATGCGCCCAAAGCGCGGAGCGCATTCGGTGTGGACAGGGACGAGGAGAGAAGGGCAATAGACGAGGAGAATAGGCAGACGCTGGCAGCCATGTCAGACGCGGAGATTGAGCAAGAGCGGCAAGAGCTCATGTCAAGTCTCAATCCAGCATTGCTGCAGAAGCTGCTCATGCGGTCCAACATTGACCAAGGGAGCAACGAGCGGGACTTTGATACAGAGCCGCCAGCACCAGCAGCTACTGCTACCCCGGCGACTGACGAAGCCAAGCCAGAACCTCAGCCAAAGACACCAAGCACGAAGAAAGTCTCCTTCGCGGCACCAGAACCCGAAAACGAAGCACCATCACAGCCAGCCTCGACCTCAATACCCACCGCGCAACCCCCGTCAGACGACAACACCACATCGACAGCTATGCCCGATACGAACGACTCAATACACTTCCCACAACCCCCACAACCACCCGACCTCGACCCAAACGACCCCTCATTCCTGAAGAACCTCCACGAGAAATACTTTCCCACGCTACCCTACGACCCCTCCTCGCTATCATGGATGTCGCCCATCGACCCATCCGATACGAAGTCGCCCTACCACCCCTCGCAAACCGCTCTCAACCCCGCCGAACTCCGCTTCGACTTCTCGGGCAACTTGCTAGCGCCCAGCGTCGCACGATCTATACCAACCGACCTGGGCCTCCACCACCATGCCGAAGCTCCCGAGGCAGCAGGCTACACAATCCCCGAACTCGCGGTTACGGCGCGGAGTAAAGTCGCGAGTCAACGGTGCATCGCATACCAGACCCTGGGTCGTATCCTATACAGATTAGGGAGAGGAGAATTCGGGGTTGAGAGCACGGAGCAAACGACTGATGGGCCGGCTAAGGTAGCCAAGAACCCAGAGGTGGAGGAAGACGAGGATGGAGAGGAGTGGGTGGAAGAGGATGTTGGCAGTGCCATTGCAGGCGGACTTTGGCAGTGCGTTGAAGAAGGGCGGGTGATTGAGACGTTGACGGAAGAGGCGAATAAGGAGAGGGGTCATCTGACTGCACGCACGTTTGCTCAGGAGGCGCTGTGGAATTGGCGTAGGGGCGGTGGGAGGAAGAGACAGGCTGTGTGAGCTTCACAATTCAAGTAAGACGACGGATGTATCACATAGATGTATGATATCACGAGAATTCCCCATATGAGTTCGAACTCATCGTTATGCATTACCCGTATTCTATTCATGCCCCATTACCGATACCAAGATGCTTGTCAGCACGACTCATCGGTATCACAGCATACGCTCAACGTAGCTCAAGTCGGCTCGCACATCGCGGGCCCACATCCGGTTGATCGGTCTGTCCAAAGCCTTCATAGTTTTTGCCCCTCTTGGGCGGAGACTCCAATCGAACCCCCTTTCTCTTTGCCGGAGGAGTAATGCTAATAGAAGAGTCTAATCAGCAACCGGTAACTTGGAAAGAGGAAGATAGGAGCAGGGGCTCAGAATAGAAGAGAGCTTACTCCTTCTCCACTCCGTCGATGACAGGCACATCCTTCAAGTCTACCGGCTCCAACGCGGGCATCTCATCGTTAGAATCGTCGTCGAAAGTAACATCCTTCATCTCAATATCCTTCTGGGTATCCTCCTCGGTCTTCTCAGGCTGGCGGCACACGGCCTCGGTATAGTCGTCCACAAGATCGGCTCTTATGTACACGACACCTGTGCTGACCTTCGGGCGGTGTGCTTCCTCCTTGTCGAGCACTACGCTCTCCTGCTCAACTTGATCTACGTTTTCGTCATTGTAGACTCTCCATTCATCCTTGTGGAAGTCGTAGATGTAAATCCAGTAATGACCACTTCTGACGTCGCCGCGGTGGGTAAAGACAGCATGGAGACGGTAGGGCACGGAGTTGCAGTCCTCGAAGACTGTGTCGATTTTGGATTCCAGCAATGTTATCTGGTCGTCGATGCCTGACAGATCGGCAGCGAGGTCGGCGGCACGGGTGTGGAGCGTATCAGAGAGTTCTGGAGGTGGAGTCGGGAGGAAGTCCTGTGACGAACTCGGTTGTTCATGCTCTGACTTCTCTGTGGCCAGACTGTTGACAAAGTCGCTCGTTGCCTCTAGACATTCAGGGAGGTTCAAGCCCTCAATGCCTGTTGTCTGTAGCTTTGTCCTCTTAGCATCTAGCTCTCGCAACTCTTTCTGTTTTGCCCATTGCGCTTTGCGAAGCTCTAGCAGCTGCGCTTCGCTTAGTGTCGGTGTTCTCGCCAAGTAACGATCCATATACATCGTTTTCTCCAGGCCGATATGCGAGTGGTCGTATACAGGCTTGCCCTCCTTGAACTGTAGCCGCTTCACGTTTATGATCTGGATGGGCGCAGCCTTTTCAACGTAATCGTATCGCATACCGCCACCATCCGCTATCTCACCCAAACCGAAGTCTTCGTCCAGGGTGGCATAGAGTGAGCGGTCTCGTTGTCCAGTGGCGACAAGAAAATGGTCTCGAAGCTCTTGAACCTTCTGCACGCCGTCTGACTTTTCCA